CTTCAAAAGGCGCCGCCGTCGCCAAAGACAGGGAAACCGGAAGTCTGATCCTCACACTTTTGACCGGTCCTCGCACTTATGACCATCCTCACATTTATGCCCATTACGGCATTCTTAACAACCGTGTCAGACATTTCACCACTACTTCCTTTCACCATGGTGACAAGATAGGGTGCAAAACGTAAAATGTGAGGACAGTCGTAAGTTCAAGGACTGGTCAAAAGTGCGAGGACCGGTCAAAAATAGCTTTTTCAGCCCTCTGAGTAGTCCATATGCACATAGGGACTACCCAGAGGGCTGAAAAAAGTGATTTCTGACAGGTCCTCGCACTTTTGACCGGTCATCATTTATGCCATCATTTATCTTCTAGTCCAGTGATCTCCAACATTGGCAACTTTAAGCCTGGCAGACTTCAACTCCCAGAATTCCCCAGCCAACTATGCTGGCTAGAGAATTCTGGGAATTGAAGTCCACAAGTCTTAAAGCTACCAAGTTTGAAGACCTCTGAGCTAAGGCTTTGGGGCCAGCCTTTTGGAGAGGGAATCCCATTTGGAGAGACCCCCTGCCTCTCAGAAAGCATCAGGCCCAAGCAGAGAAAGTTGCCAAGGTTGGAGATCTCTGGACTAGAAGACCTCCAAAGGTCCCTTCCAACTCTGTAATTCTGGTATTGGCAAGCAAGCACAGTTAAGCTACTTAAATCCTTCAGAGCAGGGGTCCCCAACCTTTTGGACCTCAGGGACCACCAAGTTCATAATTTTAAATTTCACGGACCACTAATAAGAATCCAGCACGCCACTTGCTGAAGCACTTGGACTCCCAGTGACGGGATAGGGTCCTTCAGGCACTCCCCCCTCTTTCTCTCTCTCTCCCCCCTCTCTCATTCTCTCTTTCTCTCCCCCTCTTTCTCTCTCTCTCTCCCCCTCTTTCTCTCTCTCCCCCCCATTCTCTTTCTCTCTCCCCCTCTCTCATTCTTTCTCTCTCCCCCTCTTTCTCTCTCTCTCCCCCTCTTTCCCTCTCATTCTCTCTCTCCCCCCTCTTTCTCTCCCTCTCTCCCCCACTCTCTCTCTCATTCTCTCTCCCCTCTTTCTCTCTCTCTCCCCCACACTCTCTCATTCTCTTTCTCTCCCCCTTCTCTCTCTCCCCCACCCCCTCTCTCATTCTCTCTTTCTCTCCCCCTTCTCTCTCTCCCCCACTCTTTCTCCCCCTTTCTCTCTCCCCCTCTTTCTTTCTCTCCCCCTTTCTCTCATTCATTCTCTCTCTAAGCCTAACCCTAACCCTCTCTCATTCTCTTTCTCTCCCCCCTTCTCTCTCCCCCCACTCTTTCTCTCCCTTTATCTCTCTCTCTCCCCCTCTTTCTCTCATTCTCTTTCTCTCTCCCCCCTCATTCTCTTTCTCTCTCTCTCCCCCACTCTCCCCCACTTTCTCTCTCTCATTCTCTTGCAGGGGATCAATCTGGTGTCTGCAATGGAGAGCAAAATCCAGCTTCTTCTCTCTGCTGTAAGTGCAGCATCAGGATTCCATCTTGGTATATTTGCGGCGCAAGGCAGCCCTCGTTTCCTGCCGACTCGGAGCGGTAAACAGTGTCTGGTTCGGGGAGCAGCTGGATTTTGCTCTCCATTGCTCTCTCGGCCCCCTGAAAGCTCTCATCTCTTGAGAAGCCCAACCAAAGTTTCCCGCACCACTTCATTCACCCAATTGGTGAATTGGTCTTGTAGCTTTATGATAGAAGTCAATTACATTTCCTAAGAAATTACATTTCTTAAGAAATACACACAAAATACTGACATTTTAGAACGATTCCCAAAAGCCTAAAGCAGATTCGGCAACTATTTTAACATTTAAATAGTCCCCCAAGTTTCCCAGTGGCTCCAAAAATTTTAATTTGCTTATTGTAAGCATATGATTTTCCCCGATATTGTGATTAAAAAGCTGATAATTACTATAATACATTTTTGTGCACCGCCCATTTATTTCTTTATTCAGGTTATTTTAAAAATTATAGCTTCATTTTCTGGTTTTTCTTCTCAGAAAATTTGGTTGTAAAGTCATCAAATAACATTTCTCTCAGAAGATCCCATTATGTAAAGAGATCAGATAATAGACGAGAGTCTTGGCTGCAGTGTTGGAGACTATAATTTATTTTTAATCAAGGATAATGTGCAGACAGCTCTTTCTCTTTCATAGTTTAAAATGGACCAAATTAGAAAAAGGTGAAAAGCTATTTCAACATTTGGAAAAACTTTAATCAGTTCCTTATTGTAAATTGTCTTCCTATTATGTGTGGTCTTAAAACTATCCCATTGATCTGCATCATATTTAGGAAGAAAATGAAAAGTTTCCATTCTCATGAAAGAGAAATTTGAAGCTCTGTTGGATTAGAGATGTTGGATCAACATTTCTTTCTTATAAAATCCTGAGTTTGGGAAACCTAGGCCAGCCTTGCCGGGAAAACAGATAGTTTCACAATTTAAAGTTTTTCTAATCTAATGTTATACATTTCCATCCTGAGCATGTTTCTTCTACTTAGCCTGCAGTGATATTTTCTATCTGGGAAAATTGATTTGTGCCTCTGCTGTTGATCTTTTATCTGAATATGAGATTCCCACATGGGGAATAATTTTCTTTGCTTTTTTGACATTTTTTTTTCAAAGCTGTTACAGATATTATGAACAAAAGTGACAAGAGAAGAAAGCAATTCTTTTCTTGACATAACATCAAGACGTAGTTTTTGTAGATTTATTTTGCTGTCACAGCCAAATTTGTGTAGGACTTTATGCCAGAATATTGTCATAATAGTAATTTTAAATGTTTCAGAGCTATTTTTTTTAATTAAAGTGTCTGCTTCTAACTACACAAGTTCTCTTTCTTTTGGAATCTTTTACAACCTTCATCGAGGATTCCAAAGTCATAAGAAAAGGCAAATACTTGTGTGCCACCTTTTCAGCCGAGCCAGCTTGATTATGACACTTTTTTGAGAGTGATCTGTAAAGTATTTTTTTTAAAAAAAACATCAACTACCAAGGGTTGAATGTAGATCTGCATTACAGTTCACTGTGCATAAGTGCTGAATAAAAAGTAGATAAAGGTTTAGGAGGAGAGACGATTTGGTGGGGTGGTTAAGGCAACAGTCTAGAAACTGAGGCACCTGGTTCTCGTCACACCTTAGGTACAAAGCCAGATGGGTGACCTTTGGCCAGTCCCTCTCTCCAGCCCTAGGAAGCAGGCAAGGGCAAACAGCTCCCAAGAATGCAGTCATCAGGGGTCCAGACTGACTTGATTGGTTATTCATGCTGTGTTTTGTTGCTTTTGATGATGATGTTGTTGTTGTTTTATTGCCCATTCACTTATCATGTCTGTCCTTTGAAATTATTGAAATCAAGTACATATTTTTGAAGAATGCTAGTGATAATTTCACACAGGTTTGTTCTGGTGTGGTTGTCAATTATCAAAAGCCACAAAAAATCACAGCTTTATGTCTTCATTGAAGCAGTATTGAAAAACGATACATCAGTGCTCTATATAAAAATGATTGGTATAAAAGTCAGGAAAAGGAGAAAAACACTGCATTTTTCACATTTTCTGGATTTTGGTAGCCCCACAAAGGAGGCAAATTAGAAACATGCATTATGGTCCAAACTGCCCTATACAAACTTGAATGTGATGTCATGACAAAAGTACATAATGGCACAGACCTCATGACATGGCATATATTCTAACAATTTGACATCACTGAATTTCAACAACTGTAGAATCAGGCCGCAGCATAACAAAATTGACAAAAGTGAAGGATCTGAATACTTTCTGAATGCACTGTACGTAAGGGTGGAACATTGCAATGCTCACTTGATCTTTCTGATAAAGTCATCCTGCTGCCGATAACCTCTGTCTGGATTTATAATGGCATATGCCATAATAGTTGAATAAAAAAAGAACCTAAAATAAATTTGTACTTATTTGACTTATTATAACAGCTGTTTGAGAGACAATGAAATAAATAGATGCAGAATAAAGAAGGTAGTAATAAAACTACTGCTTTAATTTGATGATTGTTTAAAAATTGACATTTAATATTGGTCCATACTGATACAGTTTTGAATTGACCATTTAAAGATCCCCCTAAAGCTTATCTCATTAGGAAAATATACTGATAGTTGCTAAGAATCTGAATTTATCTCAAGGTATTTTAATATAATCACTTCAGGAAGTGATTTATATATACCTAAATTAATTACTCCCTCACCCTATTCCTAACTACTTATTCTCTCTCATTTCTGGCTGTTCTCAAATCTCTTTCAGCCAAAGAGCTATAAGAGCTATAATTGGTAATTCCAACAAATCACATGTATTTAAACTCATAGTGTCAAGATTCTCTGGAACATACATACATATTCATATATATGATGAAAGCAGCACAATACTATTTGACCTTGTCATGTTACTTGTTTTCATTATCAAAACAAAATAATGACAAAATGTCCAAATATGCTCTTGACTTCTTGATGCAGTTTTAAATCAAATGTTACAATGGTTATGTTGAGCTGAATAGCAACAGTTAGATCAGAACAACTAGACCAGAACAACTAGACACAAGAACAGTTTTTTCCCGAACACCATCACTCTGCTAAACAAATAATTCCTTCAACACTGTCAAACTATTTACTAAGTCTGCACTACTATTAATCTTCTCATCATTCCTATCACCCATCTCCTCCCACTTATGACTGTATGACTGTAACCTTGTTGCTGGTATCCTTAAGATTTATATTGACTGTTTCCTAATATGATTTGATTTATTATTTATACCCTATGACTATCATTAAGTGTTGTACCTTATGATTCTTGATGAATGTATCTTTTCTTTTGTGTACACTGAGAGCATATGCACCAAAACGAATTCCTTGTGTGTCTAATTTATTAGAGAATAAAGAATTCTAGTCTAGTCTAGTCTAGTCTAGTCTATTCCTTTTTAAATTAATTGTAACTTTTATTTTTATTTCTAGGTTTTGAGTTTTGGACGTTTGTCGAAGGTGTTGTTTTTAGAGCTAGTTTATTCTGTTCTACGCCTGCTTCACTGAATTGCGATTAAAGTGAATATCCCTGAGAGGATTACCATCAGAGAGAAATCTTTATATTTTTCTTCTGAAAACTTCCACTGTTGAAGTAACCTTATATTTTGGGCCACAGTCATGTGGTCATCACAGTTGCTGCTGTTCTTCACAATTCTCTTGGTATCTACAGTCCATGGTAAGTACAGAAAATAATGTTGGTTTTAACAATATGTAGTGTTTTCTGGGACTGAAAATTTCCAGCACCTTCCAATTTGCAACTAGTGGGAAAGCGTTTACTACCATTTTCTTAAAAATAATGGGGGAAATAAAAACATATCTCTTAAAAATAAAGGGGGGGGACTTTTTCAGATAAGTTTCTTTCATTTTGTTAAGCATATCTTTCTAACCTGTTATTCTGTTAACCTAATCTAGATATACTATAGGTGAAACTCGAAAAATTAGAATATCGTGCAAAAGTTCATTTATTTCAGTAATGCAACTTAAAAGGTGAAACTAATATATGAGATAGACTCATTACATGCAAAGCGAGATAGTTCAAGCCTTGATTTGTCATAATTTTGATGATTATGGCTTACAGCTCATGAAAACCCCAAATTCACCATCTCAGAAAATTAGAATATTACATGAAATCAATAAAACAAGGATTGTACATAGAACAATATCGGACCTCTGAAAAGTATAAGCATGCATATGTACTCAGTACTTGGTTTGGGCCCCTTTTGCATCAATTACTGCCTCAATGTGGTGTGGCATGGATGCTATCAGCCTGTGGCACTGCTAAGGTGTTATGAAAGACCAAGATGCTTCAATAGCGGCCTTCAGCTCTTCTGCATTGTTCGGTCTCATGTCTCTCATCTTTCTTGGCAAAGCCCCATAGATTCTCTATGGGGTTCAGGTCAGGTGAGTTTTCTGGCCAATTAAGCACAGTAACCCCATGGTCATTGAACCAGGTTTTGGTACTTTTGGCAGTATGGGCAGGTGCCAAGTCCTGCTGAAAATGAAGTCAGCATCCCCATAAAGCTCGTCTGCGGAAGGAAGCATGAAGTGCTCCAAAATCTCCTGGTAGACGGCTGCATTGACCCTGGACTTAATGAAGCACAGTGGACCAACTCCAGCAGATGACATGGCTCCCCAAATAACACAGACTGTGGAAACTTCACACTGGACTTCAAGCATCTTGCAGTGTGTGCCTCTCCATTCTTCCTCCAGACTCTGGGTCCTTGGTTTCCAAATGAGATGCAAAAGTTGCTCTCATCAGAAAAGAGGACTTTGGACCACTGAGCAACAGACCAGTTCTTTTTTTCTTTAGCCCAGGTAAGATGCTTCTGATGTTGTTTGTTCTTCAGGAGCGGCTTGACAAAGAATATGACATTTGAAACCCATGTCCAGGATCCGTCTGTGTGTGGTGGTTCTTGATGCACTGACTCCAGCCTCTGTCCACTCCTTGTGAAAGTCCCCAACACTTTTGAATGGCCTTTTCCTGACAATCCTCTCCAGGCTGCGGTCATCCCTGCTGCTTGTGCACCTTTTTCTTCCACACTTTTCCCTTCCACATAACTTTCTATTAATGTGCTTTGATACAGCACTTTGGGAACATCCAACCTCTTTTGCAATTACCTTTTGAGGCTTTCCCTCCTTATGGAGGGTGTCAATGATGGTTTTCTGCACAACTATCAGGTCAGCAGTCTTTCCCATGGTAGTGATTCCTACTGAACCAGACTGAGAGACCATTTAAAGGCTCAGGAACCCTTTGCAGGTGTTATGGCTTAATTAGCTGATTAGAGTGGGACACTTTGAGCCTAGAATATTGAACCTTTTCACAATATTCTAATTTTCTGAGATTGTGAATTTGGGGTTTTCATGAGCTGTGAGCCATAATCATCAAAAGTATGACAAATCAAGGCTTGAACTATCTTGCTTTGCATGTAATGAATCTATCTCATATATTAGTTTCACCTTTTAAATTGCATTACTGAAATAAATGAACTTTTGCATGATATTCTAATTTTTCGAGTTTCACCTGTATATTGCTTGATAACAGCAAGTGTTCTTTTCTGAAGAAAGGAAAAGTTCATGTCCAGAAGTAAATCATTATGGAGGATTTTTTATTTCTACTAAAAAAAGAGCTGGAGGAACAACTGATGTTTATGCAATGTTAGTTATGATCAGAGCAGATTTAGTAAAATCAAGGAGTACCCAAGGCTGTCAATCCCGCTCTTTGAGGAGATTGATATTCCTTTTTAAATAGGCAGGATACTTAATCCTTGAATATTTTTTTTTCTACTGAATATCTATTGTGCTGCTGTTGTGCTTAAGTCTTGCCTTATTTCCCAGGGAAACTGATTACCATTGGGAATATATCACTTGTACTCACTAGTAAAGTAGAGGCAAGGGAACTAATAATAGATGAATTTAGAACTTATTTATTTATGAATTTAGAATGTATTTAAAACTACAGCAAATGTGGATTTAATTAGATCTTATTTTATCCTTGTCTTCCTTGATAAGTGTTATAAATGTTAAAAATGGTGAGCCACAAACCAGCAAGCTAAGAGGAACTGTTATATAAATTTTGAGCAAATATCTCTGGGGTTCAAGGCCATGATAATGGAAAAGTAGCCATTGCCTTGAAAGGCAGGAGGGAAAGATGTAAAATTTAAACCTTGGAGAAAACATATTTACAGAAGTTTCTGTGTTTGGATATTTTGTGTGTATATGGTTTGTACTTTATCTGCAGTAAAACTGATGTCACATCTGTGAGATTCATAGTACCGGGAAAGACCAGATTTATTGCCATGTTTGGCATGAAGTCTGAAAGCAAAATTTTACTACCTATATTTTTCTACCTATATTCTCAGTGTTACAAAAGAGCCTGTGCCTTGAATCAATTTGTGATACAGATAGATCAGTTTACTCCAAAATAAACCAGGTAACTACTAAGTAGAACAAAATCGATCACTATCACAAAGTCCCATGACAATCTTGCCCCAAAGTCTGGCAGCCATTGCTAGAGCAGCTGCAGCAGCCACAAACCTTCATTACTGAGTAACTGCCTTGTTGCCTGAGGATTAATATTAATGATCTAGTTAAGCAAGTGACCACCAACTGTGAAATCCTTCACTTCCAATAAGGTAAGCATGCAGTGCAATATTACTGACTTTCAGCTGTTAGTTTAGGATGTTGCCTGGCATGAAAAAGAGGCTTCATTTACCAGCTTAAACAGGGACTGTCAGATGTAATAATGAGGAAACCCATTCAGCAGATATCCTCAACTTCTGGTATCTATTATGTGAGGATGTAGGAAGAGGGAAGAACAAAAGTGAATAGTGGTTTCTTTCCTTCCTCCTTCTACTCTGCCAGTTTCTTACTGTAAGTCTTCCATTGGTACCCAGACTTGATTTAATGCAGACTGTTTGGATATCAATGGAGGACTTAAAGTATTTGTGGAGGTTTTTTGCAAGAAGGTACCCTAAACATTCCATATCTGGGTTGTCAGAAAGAGTATCACTCAAACAATGATTCTTAACTTCAAGGGGCACTCAGAAATCAAGTGTAGCCTAGACATGTGGAACTATAGCAGTGGTGGGTTCTACTGGTTTGGAACGGTTTAGCTGAACTGGTAATTCCCACTTCCTGCCGAAAGCGAACCGGTTCTCTGTTGCTGTGAAAGTGGGCCCGCCTACCCCCAGGCCCACTGACCTTTATTTCTGCTTCTGAAGCCCAGCTGATCGGGGCGGCAGATTGAATTGGCCCTCCTCAGCTGTTTTCCTTGCTCCTTTCCTTGTTTGCAATGCAGAAGTTCAATTTTATGGAAACTGCATGTGCACGCTCAGCAAACCAGTTGTTCAAACGGTAGGATCCCACCCCTGAACTATAGTCAAATATTTAGGCATTTATGTTACTCTTCAAACTCAGGCAGAAATACAGTTGCAAACTCTAATAGACTCTGGCACGACATACAACTTAATTAGCATGTACCCTGGAATATTTTTTACCCTATGCCCTACCTTCCATCTCTGTTCTGCTCCTGGAAAATTTTGGGGATTTTCCTGAGATGTGGTCCCCCCCTCCCCCATGAGACTACTGGAGTCAGAAGGGAGACTTTTTCCTTACATCAACAGACCAGATTAAGAGACTGCACAGTCTGTAGCTGGATCAGTGGGGAGAAGAGGTTCAGGTAGCCAACCCCTAGAATCTCTCAGGATATATCTGGTAGGTAAGATTATAGCTTTAGTTTGGCAAGATTCTGTTCATTAGGTGTAAGCAAATAAAAGATTGGACTAAACTGGATCTTGCTATCTTGTCTCTGGGCTTGGGTATGACATTTGTTCAGGCTTGGACTGATACTGTATCCAGGTTTAGAGGGGCACTTAATTTGGTCAAACTGGAAGAAATATAAAGAAAGGCAACAAGGATAATGGGAGTTATATGTTGGAATGAAAGTTGGAGTAAATTGTGTCATTTTCACTTGGTATCCACTGAATGCAGATGGAAAAGGGACTGGAAGGGGGTATGTATGCTACCAACCAACTTTATCCACAGTGCTGCTAATCCCAATCCAATTGCCACAAGTTGTTGGACTTCTATTACCTTTCTTCATTTGCTGTCACCCCAAAAATCAAGATTTGGCACTGTTCAGCTTCCATTGTGATGGCTAGGAGGACTTTGCTCCCTTGTAATTAAATGTTATCTGTGGATAGGGCTAAGGGAATGGTTGACTCAGTCAGATCATGTCATTCCAATCAAGTCACAGACTTGCAGCACAAGTTTATTCAGGGGAAAAGAATGTCTAAACTGGATGGCCTAAACCCTAAAGCAACAATGTTAGTTAATTCACTGTGTTAGTACCAGTATATTTCAACCATCACTTTAGAATGGATGTGGCCATCATTTGAACATCGGTAGAGTGCACTATGGGTACCCTTTGGGCTTTTGTAATGTGTATTAGTCATTTTTCATTGACTTTAATTCCTGCATTTTATTTGTCTACTCTGAAAAATGTGTTAGCCCTAAAATGAGGAACTGGTAGAATGGTTTTCTCCTTTCAGAAAATTACTTTTAAAGGGAAAAAAGTATGATCTGTTTTAATATAATTTTTTTCAAGTTTTTTCCAAGTTGACTCATTAAAGCAGCTGCATCTTTAAAGCAAGCTCTTACAGCAAAACCATGAAAACA